ATATATATATATATATATATATATATATATATATATATCTGTTGTAAAGTAGCGCACAAGACCGTAGACGCGCAAAACGCGGAGCACTGTTAATTAAAGTTTCGCGCGACATTCTCTTGTTACACGATTATCACCTATACTACGCTCGCGCATGTGTATTTCGCTTCGTGAAAATTGTCCCTTCGTTATTAGGGAGAATATTTTCCAATTTTCGGTTCACCGCAAATTTGGCGCATGTAAAACGTCGGTCTTACGTGCACCGCGACCGAACCGACAATTTGTCTGCTCCGAGTCAATAGCTCCCAAGAAATTTGGTGCACGTAAAGCATCGGTTTTACATGTGGCGTCACCGCAACGCGGATCAAAAAAAGAAGACAAAAAAATCATGTGAACAGAAGAATGAGAAGAAGAAGAGGGAAAAATTATGTTGTTTTTGCACTCACCCGCGCCAACGCCACCGCCGGAAAAGTGTCCCACGCTAGCTGCGTTTCCTCGCCCGGGTTTTTGTGACGTTGACCCGAGAGGATCCTCGCGGCTGTGAGGGTGCTCATCCCCATGCCGTCGCCGACGAAGAGGACGACACCACGCGCCACTCCGGACGGCGGCGTCGTGCCGCTGATGCTGGAACTCGCAGCCGCCCTGATCCGCGTCTCAATCTCCCTCGTCGCCGCTTCATACCAGACCTCCCTCTCTACAAATAAACAAGATCAGCTATACAGGATGTCTTGGATCACTTTCACAATCTCTCGTGAAGACGTAGAGGACGTAGAGCGGATTGAGATGAACACAAAAGTCCCATGCCGTTTTGCGATATTCGCAATAATAGTCGAGATATTAATTAAAAAAGATTGGTGAATGATCACGCCCGATGTGGTAGATGAGTTGCAGTGGCACCGTCTGCCGCTGTATACTTAGACATTAAGTCAAACTGAACAAAAAAGTCCTCTACCATTTTGCAAATGACCACATAGATTTTTAGATATTAATTAAAGAAAATTGTTACATGATTGTGTATCATAATATACAAATTTTCTATAATTAATATCTAAAAATCTATGTGGTCATTTGCAAAATGGTAGAGGACTTTTTTGTTCAATTTGACTTAATGTATAAGTATACGACGGCAGACGGCGCTACTGCAGCTCATCTACCATATCGCGAGTGATCATTCACCAATCTTCTTTCTTAATTAATATTTCGACTATTATTGTAAATATCGCAAAACGGTATGGGACTTTTGTGTTCATCTCAATCTGCTCTACGTCCTCACGAGAGATTATGAAGGTGATCGGGAAACCCTGTATATACATCTCATTCAGGCGATTTATAATCGGATCATCGACATTGTCGCCATCGAAAGATAACACGTCGTCGCTCGCTAATCGAGAGTTTGTTTCGCGGTAGAGCTCACTAGCAGTGTCTAAGTTTTTACAAAATTGAGACTGTATTCGCACGCGAACAAAGAATTAGCTACGATGTATTACTGCAATAGAAACAGCTAATGTCATTGATACCAAAACTAGGTTTATTAGCTACTAACTTAAACTGCCCGGGTTATCGCAAAGTGTTAAAGAGATGAAATCAGAAGGAGAAACACGACACACAAGTAACATGCAAACTCCTTCATTCGTGATCAAATTCCTTTGTTAGTCTCGTTTGTTATAATATCAGCGAGATTTATATCATTACTGTGGTGCATAAAATTAAAGGAATAATTATAATTATTTACAAAATGGTAGAGAACTGTGTTATTCAATTTCATAAGTTCTACTCGCGTACGAGCGTTGATATAATGTATTGTGTCAGACATTCTGTTTCTACGTTTCCAAAGCTAATAAAAAGAACATATAATATAATAAATATTGCGACGAGACAAAACTTGTCATTTTACATATCTATTAATTACATAATGAATGGATTTAAGTGCCTGTGCGTGAATAGAATTTGTTAAATTGAACAGACACTAAAGATAAAGTAAAAATTAGTATGTGGGAACAAATAATAAGATAAATAGTAAAACAAAAATAGATGACAGTCTAAAAAGTGTATATCTTCTAATTAACTTCCTAATTAGCCTACTTTTTTATCACTTCTCATTCCCAATCAGAAACGAGTGAAAAGCATAGCTGTTTGATCTCAGGTACGGCAAGTGATATAATCACCCACTTCTCAGTGAATCGTCGAGGAGACGGACATATATTTTACTGTTTCATTTAAATTTATCACATAGTATAGCATAGGATAAGACTGCAACATATAGCAGCATCTTACATCTCAGCATTTGACGTCGCGTGTCAAGAGAACATTAAGGCTTCAAACGATTTCGTACGAAGCTCGGCGATGATATCGCCGGAAGCAGTGGATTCGACGGAAACGACTGTTCCTCTCCGAACTGTGGCGAACGAAACTCTACCTGCGGTTGCGGTTTCTCTAGCTCCCGGTATTCACCGTTACGACTCGATAATGGATAAGTTGAAGCGGCCCGCTATAACGATCTATAAAACGTCATAAGTCGGCATGATAGCGGATTTGCGGAAATACCGGTAGCGGTCGGACTAAAACTCCAATGCGATCGGGCACAAACGCACCAATCAAAATTTTTTTGCTCAATCGTCTTTTCGTAATTATAGTAATGCAATATACAAATTACATAGGTAACGTTGTCTCTGAGAGTTTGAATGTACAGGAGCGATCGCAGTGTAATACCTTCTTCTTCTTTCCAAATTTTCGAGAGTGCAGTCGCAGATTTCGTATTACGCTGCCGTCTCTACCTGTTTATCTGCTATCACGCAACGCGCACGAGGAAACGGTATTCGAGCTTCCGTTAAACTAAACCATCCAGTTCACGGAGCAAGTGAAATTCCCCGCGCCCACCGTTCTATCTAATTCATGGAAAATTCAGACTGTACCGTTCGCTGTCGGCAAGTCGCGCAGAAACACGCGAGGCGCGCGCGACTCACGAATGTTTTATTCGCCCACTCGCACTTCCGTCGATTCTTGCCGCGCGTCGTTAACTCGCGCATCGCGAAAGTCTGATGGGCTTTCCCGCGAAAAAAAAGAAAAAGAAGATTTGGACTCGAAGAGCTCGCGAATACAGCCGAGATTCCCTCGGCGGGATAGACCGCGGTCGCAACATTTCTATGCATGTTGGACGTGACGAGATCGCGTTTGCATATTTCAACCGAATGACGCGGGAGATACTCCTGAATTTTTAACTCTATCACAAAGTTTGATTAATAATGCTCGACGCGAAAGCGCTGTTCTATCGGCAAGCGGAGTGTTGCCGCGAGAACCGTCACTGAATCAATTGGCGAACGATCGATAATGAATGGGAGGTGGAGTGAAGCACTCTCTCGTATCTCGTCGTATACCGAGGACTACATAAATATTAAATTTTGTTAAATCAAGTTTGTTAATCCAACAACAATACAGCTAACCAAAACTAACTATATACCCTTGTGTAATGATCCATGTCTATATTTTACAGACAAACTAGGAACTATCGAGAATTATCCGATTACAGCAGATCAATAAGTATTATTTAACAATAATAATACTCTAACTGCGTATATGTAAATTTTATAATTTAAAAAATAATAAGAAAATTGTACAGAAAAAAAGATATGAACATAATCAGAAATATTTAGTTGTAAGCGGCAATTATGATAGCGTCACTCCTAGTTATATAGTATGTGTGTATGATGGCAAAGTGTATGATTGACATAATTCAATTACTTTGATATATATTGACTACATCAATGCAATTGCGTGTGATATAGTTGTGACAACCAGAAGTCTGTTAGGACAATATTTACCATGAATATGAATATGAATATAAATATACTCTGTATGAATATAAATATACTCTATATGAATATATATACTCTGGTTGGAGCAACCAGATATCGTTATTGCAGCTACAACGCTAATAACTCAGCAATTGTCCTGTGAAACCACATAATTAATTTTTCTACCGAATATTTTACTACCGAATCTGATTTACACAAGCAGATTTATATGCCGGTCGACCATACTGCTTTTCGCGCGTAACACACACAAATTGGATGAGATTATAATTAGCAACGTAATCTCTTATCAGAAATTAATCAGGTCTTGAAATATTAGTGACTATGGCCTCGACTGGAAAGCTGCAAATCGCATTTGCACGAGCGATCTCTAAATCAGTAAAATGTGCAGATCTCGCTCTGAATATTCTACCGCTTAGACAGAAGATTACGCAGCGCACGCGATACCAGCGCACACGATCGCAGTCATATTGTTAATCGCGTAATCCCCCGACGCGTAAACGCATTTGCCCCCCGATACCTGGATATCCACACAATGACGATGTACAAAGTCGCACTTAAACAGCTTAATCGCTCTTGCGAGTATTGCGAGCGTAGGACGCACACACTGATCACGGCCAAATGTAGCAACGGTGAACGAATTATTATTACCGATACAGTATCGCATTATTCCTGCAGTGTTTCGTAACAAAGTATCAGCGAAGTTCAAGCTTTACGTATTGCGGCGCGAAGCTTTTGCTGAGAGAATGTTAAATGCCGCCACCTCCGACGACGACGACGACGACGGCCCTCCACGACTGTAAAAGCGTGGCAGGAGAAATTTCTGGTATAAGAATTCACCGCGCACAAATGGATTACTCGCCACAAGTGCTCGCATGAAATGCGATTGTTAAGTGCGTGAATACGATAGTGGATTGCGATAGAGGGTATCAGCGGGATAATACCGAGTGGAATTGTTAAAAAAAAATGAAAGGAAGAGAGACCGAAGAGAATGAAAGAAAGGAAATCGTCAAAAGACTCCCCCGGGAATCTCGAACAACTTCGAGAAAAGTAGGCTACTTATCCCGAAGGAACTTCTTACAGATCAGATAAAAGATTTTAATAAAGATTTCAATATGCACTCTCAGACTCGAGTCTTTGAGGCACGGTTTGATACAACAAGTATACTGAAGAAGCATTAGAAAACTTTAGCGCGAGGTCTATTAAGAACGGAAATTCCTTTGTCGATTTTCGTTAAAACGGCTAATCAGCGAAAACATTCCGGAAGTGAAAAGTTTCAGAATTCCTGAAGTGTGTACTCTCTCCTCGCCCGAAAACACTCGTATACGTTTGTATAAATGTTTTTCCTCTTAACATCACGTAAATTTGTCCTCTACGTTTATCTAAAGGCGGTATTCCGTAACGTGATAAAACTTCGGGAAAACCTGGATTCTACGATCGCTCCGTGACGCATTGCGCAATCAATTTTGCGAAGAATGATTTTTCCTTCAATCTACCGTCAACCTAAGAAAACACAAGGTGGAACATTCTTTTCAAAGGACAAACTTCGCTAGATCGTCTCAAGAGCGTCTTTTTTTCCCGATCCCTCGTATAGTTTAAATTCTCGCCGTCCCGGGAAAAATAGAAGGTGACTACGATAAAAATTACGAAAACTCTGACGCAGAATAAGAGTAGGTCGCACTAAGAAGACTGCAGGGCGGGTTTCATTGGCAGTCACAACGTAGCCTCTTTGATCAAACGAAAGTTGTCGCGTGTATATATATATATATATATATATATATATATATATATATATATATA